AAAAAAAAAAAAAAGAAGAGTTCTTTTTTTGCCCAACTGATATTTTTCCCTTTCAGCTGCTTTTAAATGACTATACTATAAACTTTATGAGAGTACTTATTTATTTTATTTTAATCTTTTAAAGTTTTAATTTTAATTCCAGTTAGTTAATATACAGTGTTATATTAGTTTTATAAGAGAGTATTTAAATATTTGATTTCCTTTTGGGGTGCTTGGGTTGCTCAGTCAGTTGAGCGTCAGACTTTGGCTCAGGTCAGGATCTCAAGGTTCATGGGTTTGAGCCCCATGTCAGGCTTTGTGCTGATAGCACACAGCCTGCTTCAGGTTCTCTGTCTCCCTCTCTGCCCCAACTCTGCTTGCGCACTCTCTCTCTCAAAAATAAATAGTAAAAAAATAAAAAAACAAAACAAATAAATGCTTGATTTTCCTTAATGCTATTTTATTCTCTGCCCAATGCCATGACAAAAGTATAGCACATAAAGCACATATACACCATTTCTTGAATGCATTGTCCTGTTACTTGCTTTGGATACATCTACAAGAGAGAAATCCATAAGGATACATAAAGATTTGGCAATTCTTCTTTTCTTTCAAAACTACATGCAAAAGTGCCCATCTTTCTCTGGGGCCTGAGAGGAGGTCTTCTTGTCCCATTGATGAAACGGGACAACAAATAGCAAGCATCCTTGCTGGTGTTATTCTAGAGTAGGGCTGGACTAACATGACCTTTCAATGGTCCTTTTCTCTATTTTCCTTATGACCACTGGCAGCAGGTTAGGGAGCATCTGTGGTCCTTAGTAAAAGAAACAATCTAAATAAATCAGTCACATCAGCACTAGTCTCTGAACAAATGAGCTAGAGAACAAATATTATCTTGGTGTGATACCATGGTAGTGAGAAAGCAGAGTTGGTTTTATAGCCACAGTTCTAACCTAACTCCACAACTTAAAAACTATATGTTCTAGTGCCTAGAAACTGTCTAGCACATGACAAGAGCTTAATTAACTATTCATTTAGTAAGCGAATAACTAAGTGAATGAGTGACTGACTATAGCTCTCTAAGGATCAATTTCCTTATCACAGAATACACAATCACTGGTAGTTATTAATTGGTATGACAAATGGAAAGAGTTTTGGAGAAACTTCAATTTTGATACTAGGCAAATCTTTGAGTTTCCCTTTCTTATTTGCAAACTGTAGTGACTAAGACTCAATGCATGGGATATGAATTCTTATGTTGTTTGTTTATTTATTTTGAATGAGAGAGGGAGAGAGAATACCCCAAGCAGGTTCCGTGATGTCAGTGCAAAGCGTGATGCAGGCTCAATCCCACAAACTGTGTGTGACCTGAGTTGAAATCAAGAATCAGACGCTTAACTGACTAAGCCACCCAGGTGCCTAGGAACAGGACTTCTTTATGGAGGGTACTGGCCATTCATTTTCAGGCTTAAGCCTGCTTATCAACTATGCTTCAAACCTAACTGTAAGGATTCACTGCCAAACTGGACAAGACAGAGAAAAGGGACCAATTAATGCAGTTCTGGACAAGTTTTTTCTTTATAGCCTATTGCGGTAGTTTTAAAACTTTTGTTTTCAGAACTCATTTACACCCTTAACAACTTTTGAGATCCCCAAATAATTTTTATGTGGGTTATTGTTATCAAAATTTATTGTGTTAGAAATTAAAGTTGAAATACTTAAAGCATATTTATCAATTCGTTTAAAAGTAACAATAATAAACCCATTACATGTTAATATAAATACCACATTTTTATGAAAAATGGCTCTATGTTCCAAATGAAAAAGTTTAGCAAGAAGAATGGTATTGTTTTAACATTTTGCAAATGTCGTTAATGTCCGGCTTAATAGACCATAACTGGATTCTCATATTTACTTGTATATTAAACCAGTTACAATATGTTGTTTTATGTCTTAGTTAAAATTTATGAAGCAAATCTGGTCTCACATAGATATGTAGGTGAAAAAGAGAGGAGTATTTTAATAGATAATTGTAAATATTCTTTGATACACCTAAACTGACAAGTACAAGTTTCTCCAAGTATGTGAAGAACTTGAAACCATTGATGAACTGTTTGTATTTTGTAATATTTTTTTTTAATTATTTTTTTTTTTGCAACATTTATTTATTTTTGGGACAGAGAGAGACAGAGAATGAACGGGGGAGGGGCAGAGAGAGAGGGAGACACAGAATCGGAAACAGGCTCCAGGCTCTGAGCCATCAGCCCAGAGCCTGACGCGGGGCTCGAACTCACGGACCGTGAGATCGTGACCTGGCTGAAGTCGGACGCTTAACCGACTGCGCCACCCAGGCGCCCCTGTATTTTGTAATATTAAGATCCACTGACCTATCTTGGTCTTTGAATGGATCTTTTACCTATGCATGATTTTATAATATCATGCATTGGTCATGTTGAAAATATTGGTTCACTGAGTTATGCATTTCTCCTCAATATTGACATACCTAATTATATGATATCAAAAAATCACATTTGTTAATCTTACAACTGATGTCATCAGAAAATTATTTAAGCTGTCAATTTTATGGTGGATGACAATGTTTTGCTTAAAAGCTCAAGTTTTATCAGTGGCAACAAGTACTATCAGTAATACCTAGGCTATTTAAGTATAGTTTGTCTCTCAGTATTTTCAAGTAAAAATGATGTTCTGTAAGAAAAAAATGACTCGTTCAGCTCAAGCAACCACACAAGTGCTTTTCTTTGAGACTACCTTTGTACTCTGAAATGCAGCAGAAATGTGTTATCCATACCTCTCGTGTGTCACACAAACTATAAAAAGGGTGGAATTTAATAAAATAATTTTAAAATTGCACATAATAGAGGTAAAGAATATGCTACTGGTATAGTTTTGGTCATGACCTTGATTTGTGTGAAGGTGCCAGTAGTTTTACACAAATTTGATTTTGTGCCACCAATGCAAATGTTAGCACAGTAATAAAAAAAAAAAGAGGCAAAAAAGAAAAGTCTTATCACTATCATGAAAACAATTTGATGTCACGGATCCAATGAAAGGGTCCAGAGGACCTCCAGGATCCATGGAATACATTTTAAGAACCACTGACTATTATAATACTGCCTTTGACAGGGAAAACAGGAATGAAATATTATCTTCATTATCCATTTACCCTATGTAATTCATTCCCCTAGAAGATCTTCTTTAGCATTGTTTATGAAACTCAATGCTTTAGTTACAGAGCAAACATAAAATACCAGAGGTTTTATTTTGAGTTTTAAAGGCACTAGAATTTACACCATGCCCTGACATCATATTATCCACTATAGAACTTTTAACTGAAATACAGGTAGAAATAAAGTATCTCAGGGCCACCTGGGTGGCTCTGTCAGTTAAGTGACCGACTCTTGGTTTCAGCTCAGGTCATAACCTCATGGTTAGTGAGTTCGAGCCCTACATTGGACTCTGCACTGACAGCCCAGAGCCTGCCTGAGATTCTCTCTCTCCCACTCTCTCTGTCTCTCCTCCACTAGTGCTCTCTCCCTCTCAAAATAAACTTAAAAAAAAAAGAAAGAAAGAAAGAAAGAATCTCAGACACAAGCTTTAGCTTGGGGCATGAGAAACATCTTTTCACTATGGCATAGGAAAGATATACTCTTTTCAATTTAAGCTATGTTCTAAATAATAATTTTATAATAATCCTTGGGGTATATCAGTAACAGTTTTATAAAAAATCAGTCACTGTTTTTGTTTGTAAAGAGTATGCTATGTGATTAAACTTACAGGCATCCTATAGCTTCATACCTTAGCACTGTATCCTAACACGGATTCACACAAATAAGGGGTACCAGCAACCACTGTGTGAACAATTGATTTATAATACCCAGTCACTGGCTTTTCTAGATAACTAAAGATCAGCATTTCTTTCAATTAATCAACATTACAGCAAGAAATCAATATATGTATAAAAAAATGTCATGTTTGACAAGTGATTATGACTTAATTGTTGGAGAATTTAGCAGTTCTGAACAATTAACATGATTATGCTATGTCCCAAGGGTTGTGCAATTTTATTAAGAAATTTCTGTTGGTGGGGCGCCTGGGTGGCTCAGTTGGTTCAGTGTCTGACTTCAGCTCAGGTCACGATCTCACAGTTCATGAGTTTGAGCCCCACGTCAGGCTCTGTGCTGACAGCTCGGAGCGTGGAGCCTGCTTCAGATTCTGTGTCTCCCTCTCTCTCTTCCCCTCCCCTGCTTGCACTCTGTCTCTCTCAAAAATAAATAAACATTAAAAAAATGTTTTTAAATAAAAAAAAAAAAGAAATTTCTGCTGGAATTTAATGCAGCGTATTTCATTCTTCATAGAACCTGTACTTTTTGAAGATGTTCTTTTTTAGGATATTCTATGTTTTAAAATACAAAGATGTTCACCAATATAGAGAATTATTTTCAACTTTGATGTAAATATTATAAGGTTATCTCATACACAAGAAGACAGTCTACTCCCTTTGTGACAGGTACTTTACCTTGTATCACATTTAACACTTCATTAGATGAACGCTTTCCCATAATAATCAGAAAAAGTGGAAACTGATCTGTTTTTTGAGTCCGAATGGTTTGTGCCACAACACTGCCAAAATGTCTATTGCACATTGTCAGAAATCTAAAATGAGACAAAAGTCAAAGTCAATTTCATTTCGGAGTTTAATAAACTTACTAGTTCCCCAACAAAAAACTCACTGTTTTACTAATTATGTTACAAATAGCCTGTCTGTTATCAGTACATACAGTCCTGCTATACTGAGTTTTCAACAATATCTTAAATGATACAGAAATAATTATCATACAGGAAAGCAGGCAGCAAGCCCTAAATGCTGGCTGGAGGCTGAGAGAATAGGATTCTTAGTCTTAAACATTGCAAGCTATACTGCCCTAAACAATGAGAAAAACAAACAAAATGAATTTTAAGAGGAAAGAATTTCTTAAATAGGACAAATGCCGTGTGGTACAAAGTTAAATTGACTGGCAGCATCCTAGACTAAACAGGATTTAGCAACATTTTCACAAGTCTTTAGAATCAAGAATTGTACTTTAGAATTGTGTTTTTTCCAGTAGTAGTGGGCCTTCTAGTTTCATACTTACCATGAGATAAAAATAATAATTCTAAGCTTTTGACCAAAAAAGCTCAGAGATATTAGCATACTGAAGTCTAGCATTAGTATTCTTAACACGATCTGGAATAAATGAAAAAACTGATAAAGCTTTTCTCTTCTATTAGAGGACTGTTTGAAATTAGCATTTCTTTCAAGAGAAAAGGGTAGCTTATGATATGTTTTCAGATCTGATGGTAAAAAGTAAATGTCATAATAATAATGAATTATGAAAGACCAAATGCAAATATAGAATGCTTTAATAAGATCCAATTTAATAAAGTCTGTAAAAATAATGGACTTTTAATAACACAGGTCACAAAAGGCAAAACAGTGGAAATTCTGGGGACTAGCCACTGGTACTGGCTTATTAATTCTTAATTATGTTCATGAAAGGCAACTTAAATCGTGTGTTTTCTTATGCCTTATGATAATATTTTAGGTAACAACTCCTCTGAAATGTATGTTCTAGCTGATGAGCAAAATCCTGTTGTCACATGCATTAGAAGGTAAATCTATTTGAAAAGACAAACGGCATTAAAATGTCATGTGCTCAGATTCATTTGATATCCAAATTCAAAACAGAATCAAACCTCTTAATTTTTAAAGCCCATATATCTCTTGTCTATAGAAATTCATTCCAGAAATTTAGGCTGAATCCTCCACAAAACCTGTGCTGTGACTACAGGAAGTAGACCATGTTAAGGGCCACGAGAGCTGTCAGCAAGAGTGTCAAGGCAAGTTAGCACCACAGCAATAAGTTCACTGGGAGGCAGTTTCATATATATATTTAGAGCAGCAATAACCAGATCTCATGGCAATTTGAAATGACAAGGCCCTAAGAAATCAATTGTTGGCCATGAAATATCAGTGCTCCCATGAAAATTCAGATCTTCACATTCCAGAACTATTATACAATAAAAGGTGCTCAAGCAGCCTAAGCCTCCAGTACAAAATTTCACACTCATATAGTTTTAATTCATCAATGGAGACGTGTAGATCAAGACACTAGAACGTTAGGATGTCATTTTTCTTTCTGCTGTTACTAAAATATTTGAGGTCAATCTTGACCCTGATTTGATCATTGGCAACCTCTGAATTTAAAAATGTCAAAAAACATCTGGAATGTCATTCCCTACAAAAGGGAGAAAATAAGTCCTTGTTGCTTTCACACCAATGGATTAAGTGGATATCACAGTAGATGCCCATCATAGCACTAGCCTCACAAGTGATATTAAATACTACCTAAACAGGATACCCCCAAAAAAGGAAGGGAAGACAGAAGCCAGGAAGGAAGGAAGGAGAAAAGAGAGAAAGCAGGCAGACACGCTGGTTAGCTTAGTGGTTTAAAGTATTCAATTTCAAGACAATTTGCCTGGAAATTGTGTACTTCCCAAATTGTCATTTTATGAAAACGAGCTAGAAGGGAAAATAATTATGAAAATAGAGGTAACTTCTTGAGTTTAAATTAATACACCACACACATTTCAAAACTTCACAAAGTGTATTCAAGAGAAATACAGCCTTCAAAGGCACATTAGCTGTTCAATTAACTATAAAAAAACAACAAAGTGATCAGTTTTCTAGCAGGTATTGGCAAATCATTCTAATGTTTTGGAAGTTGTGGAGAAATACACAGGAATCCCGCAGCCAGTTGATGCTTTCTAGTGGCCTTAACTAACAATTTGTTCTAATCAAAGAGAGACTTTGTTAAATTTTTAATTAATCTAATTAATCTTCCTAAGATCTGAATCATGTTTACTTTGAGATTTTCAAATTACAATCAATGAGAGCATATAGGGCCAATGGACAGCCAAGTCCCAAATTACAAAATTCCTGCTTGTCAGTTCCTTCTATTACAATTTACACGAACTTCACCACACAGATATCACATCCTTCTCATGGCTAGGAGACTCCACTTCTTCCTCTCAACATCTATTCACAACACAAAGTTACCATTCATAGCATACTACCAACAGCAAAAATCCATTTCAGAACATTAGCACAAAAACAGACAAGGGAAAAACAAATTGTTTCAAGAAAAAAAATGTGGTTTTCAGAATTGTGTGGCATTTTCTTCCCTTTTAAAGAGCTAAAAGTGTGCCAGTGCATCTAATGGCAGCACCAAACTTGTCAGCCTAACTGCATACGGTGTTCAAGAGAGTCAGGTGTCACAAAGGGATAAATGGTTTCCACAACAATTGGATTCCTACAATCTCAAACCCAGAAGGGGAAGCAATGGCAACTGTTCCCTGGCAAGGAGAAATGGCTTTGTTTTTTAATTATAAAAGCTTTAAATAAATGAAACAATTTACTCCTCATATATCTAATTAAGAGGAATCAACCCCCCAAAACAAAAAGCTAAAGTGACAAATTTAAAAGACAAAGAATGAAGGTGGGAGGAAGGGAGGTAAGGAGGAAGGGGAAGAAGAAGGAAAGGTTGAGAAAATGAATGAAGAGAACACAGTTAATCACAAATCAAGTATAATAAAGCAATTCATTGATGGGGGCTGGGTGATGGTAGTGGTGGGGGAAGTGAGTGAGAAGTCTCAAACTTTGGCCTTGCTGATGAAACAAAATATAATTAGTAGTTCATATTCACCAGTTCTTGCTCTTAGAAATCTAAAATTAGATACAATCTTATCTTTTAATCTAAAGTTTGGGAAGAAAAAAAGCAGAACATCTAATGGCTAGCATATATTAATCATTAGTAAAATTTTCAGTCTCTGAAGCATAGTACTTTTCTATCTTGCTAATGGAAACCAGGATTACTAATAAATCAGATATGGGAAAAAGTAATCTCATTTTAATTCAAAACAGGATATAGTTTAGTTTCTCTCAATCAAATTCATAATTAAATGAGTCACTGACTTTTACTAAGTTGTACTCCAGCATAAGATACATAATAGAAGAAACACAGCAATTTAGGAATGGTGAGATTCCACAAACATTTACTATCTACTGTATACCAGATAATACAAAAGGATGCACATCTGATAAAAAATGGAGGCTAAAAACTGCTAATGACTCTGTGAGGCTTCCTGATTATTACATTTCAATATGTAATATTGAGGTTCCCAAGGAACCTCAGATGTAAAATGGGAGTAATACTTACATTTAAAACATTTATATTCTTGTAAGATACAAAAAGCATCAGAATTATGTTCAAAATATGGTATCCCTTCAAATTGGTAGCTATTTTATTACTAATTGCATAATGATATTTAACATTTTTATCATAACTATACTTTCAGGATTAAAATAAAAGCTTTTGGGGTGCCTGGGTGGCTCAGTTGGCTAAGCATCTGACTTTAGTTCAGGTCATGATCTTATGGTTTGTGAGTTTGAGCCCTGTGTTGGGCTCTGTGCTGACAGCTTGGAGCCTGGAGCCTGCTTCAGATTCGGTGTCATCCTCTCTTTCTCTTTCCTTCCCCCGCTTGTGCTCTGTCTCTCTCTGTCGCTCAAAATAAGTAAACATTTAAAAATTTAAAAAAGAATCAAAAAACAAAAAAGAATCAAATGATAGCTTATACCTAGGGGCTAACACTGAAAGATTTAAAAAAAATATATTTTTTTTTAACGTCTATTTATTTTTGAGACAGAGAGAGACAGAGCATGAATGGGGGAGGGTCAGAGAGAGAGGGAGACACAGAATTGGAAACAGGCTCCAGGCTCCGAGCTGTCAGCACAGAGCCCAACGTGGGGCTTGAACTCACGGACCACGAGATCATGACCTGAGCTGAAGTCAGACGTTCAACCGACTGAGCCACCCAGGCGCCCCAGAAAGATTTTTTGCATAGTAAGAATTGTTGACTAAAACCCAAAATAGTCACTGGTTTTATTTTCATTTAGAGAATGAAAGGGGAAGTATTAATATTTGGAAAATAAGAAAAGACATGATGCTACAGCTGTGTAATACTACAAAACCTTACACATTTAAAAGTGGATATGATAGGCACAACACAATTATGTAGCTAAATGCAATCAGAGTCTGTTTTCCCAAACTTACTCATCTCTAATAAAAAAAAAATGAAGTAAAACAAAAAGGAAACAGAACTAAAATCACTATTAAAAAATGTATTTACTGGGGCACCTGGGTGGCTCAGTCAGTTAAGCATCCGATTTTGGCTCAGGTCGTGATCTCACGGTTCGTGAGTTCGAGCCCCGTGTCAGGCTCTGTGCTGACAGCTCAGGGCCTGGAGCCTGCTTCTGATTCTGTGTCTCCCATCCCTCAGCTCCTCCCATGCTCACACTGTCTGTCTCTCAAAATAAAGATTAAAAAAATTTTTTTTAAATGTATTTATGTTTAGCAGTGTTAACTGATTTAAAAGCAAGAATCAGTATTAAAATTTCTGGCTGCTTACCCTTGAGCCATTAAACATTAATTGTCTTTCTGATAAAGTGTGAACCATTTCTTCAAAATGAGAGGTTACAAAGCAGAAGATATTCATGTTCAATAGTGCTATGGGACTTCTCCAATATTACCAAATAGTTTAAGGCAGAATCTATGTAT